AAGCTGTCTATTCAAAGAAAACTTGTCCCTATGGAGCTCTGAGCAGACCTGTTAAGTATAAAGTAAGACTGTTTTCTCTGCAGCACAGAGAGACAAGATAAGAAGCCCTGCCAAATTCTCAGGTCTGTCCCATGCTCTACCACTTTCCCGTGGATCCTCATATTCAAGCACAAGTGAGCTAATCGCAGTTTCTCCCCTGAGTATACCATATCACACTTAAAAAAAAAATAAGAATTTCATTTCATTATTTTTTTGGTTGTGCTAGGTCTTCGTTGCCTTGCACACTTTCTCTAGTTGTGCAAGTCAGAGCTACGCTTCATTGCTGTGAGTGAACTTCTCATTGCAGTGGCTTCTCTTGTTGCGGAGCACAGGCTCTAGGGCACATAGGCTCAGTCCTTGTGGCACACAGGCGTGGTTGCTCAGTGGCGTGTGGGATCTTCCTGGACCAGGGATCGAACCTGTGTCACCTGCAATGGCAGTCAGGTTTCTTTATCACTGAACCACCAAGGAAGTCCCTGCCGTATCGTTTTTAGCATGCTTTCCCTCCCCATTCTACCTGGGAAGTTTCTGTTCCTCCTCAGAGACTCAGGTGAAGTACCCCAGATCTCAGTAAAATCCTCAGTGATGTCTCACACAGTTCGTTCTTTACCGGCAGTGCACATACTTTGCACATAATGAATACTCATACCTGCACACCGTCTTCTTAGGTCCCCTCTTAACTCCTGAAGCGCAGGGACCATGTCTTACTTTGCCCTGTGTCCTCAGCCTGGAGACAACTGCGGGGCGTATACTTGGGGCCTGGTGACTGTCCCAGGCATGAAAACCACAGCTGCCCTGAAGGTGGAATTTGGGCATCGCTGGCCGTTACCCTGTGAAGCATGATTTGTCTTAATGTTGTTAGGCTTCTTGAAAGCATGAAAATTTGTGGTTATTACATTCCTTTCACCTGCCAAAGGCCCTATGGGTATCACCCTGTGTATTCAGTTGTGTCATACCATCTCTGCAACCTCTCTATTACAGGCGTCTCTGTTGGGGAAATTTACTCTTGCCCTCTTGATTTGATAACTTTCCAATAAAAATGTGTTTTAAAAATCCCTGCACCATTAGTTTTAGCATCTCCTTTATATACTCTATGTACTCCTAAAGTACTTTTCCTTTTTGCCTTTAATCATATTTAATGATTAAAAAAAATTTTCACAGAATGAGGGTGGTGTGCTGCATCTCAAAGAAATACTTAGAAAACAAAACAGCAAATGAATCTTTTTAAGTCTAAAATGTATCCAAGCACCCATCCATTTTCCTTTTACCAGTAATTTATAACATTCAAGGTACTTGGTTGCTTCAGACTAAGAAAGAATAAATTAAGAGCTGCCTATGTTGGTGTATGGCAGAAAACAGCACAATATTGTAAAGCAAATATCTTGCAATAAAAAATTTATTTAAAAAAAGCTGCCTGATCTTGTGCACATCTATTGCCACTAGACTGAGCAGATGTCCTGGCTGCACCCGTGCCTATTTTCCATCCATGGCTTTTTTTTTTTTTCATCCTGCTTTATTTGATGCTTTGAACTGACAAAAAATACCAGTGTCCTAATATGGTGCTTCCTTAGTTTAAAAATTGGCTCCTTTACCCTTGTAATTTCTTTTTGCATAATGCGAACAATGAAGTTGTCTAAATCATCAGGTTCCTTCTAACTTAAATTAGACAACAAACTCTACTGTAGAAGAATTTACATTGCAGGGTAAATAGGATCATTTATATTAAAACACTTGATTCTTGAATTTTGTTTTTTCATGATGACACCTAAAGAACCATCATTTTTAGTCAAGTTAAAAAATACTTTTATACATGTAAATGGTGTCAGGCACAAGAATATTGGATTTAAATACAAAGTATGATTTGGTTTTTAAATGAATACCATATCTCAAAATACCTCTTTCTTGTTCTTTTATTTAGTTTCTTTATTAGAGTTATTATAGCCCTTAAAACACTAAATTTACTAATGTATTGTCATCTGACAAAGCATAATCAAAACACCACTTTCTTACCTGGTTTAATATATTCAAGATCCTATTCATGTTTCCAGGAGCTTCATAATATTTATAAAACTAGGATGGGGAGGAGGGATGCTTTATTAGAGGCAGTTTTTCCATAAAGCACCTAGGCCTCACGGTACTGTATTTTTAGTTCAACCTGTGAATGTTATGGGCAACTTAATAGTCTGTGTATTTAAACAGAACCCTGAAAGGTATCTTTTTGCCTTCATTTAGGCACAGATTCTTCATATGCAAAGAGGCAGGTTTAGCAAGTAAAACAGATCTTCATCAACATTTGCTTTTGAAGCAGACCTGAGAAAGTTAGGCCATTCTAAATATCTGGTAGAAGTACAGTACGGAACTTACTGTTGGATATTCCACTAATAAGTTTTATTTTCTTACCTCCTTATTCTTAACAAAAGATGATTCCTTTTTACTTTCTCTTTTGAAAATCCTTTGGCTACGAATTGTTAAGAAATCGCAAACATACCAAAGACTCGAATGCCAGTGATAGTTTCTTTGCCGCTTGATGGCTCTGTTTAATAGCAGCATTTGTGACTCACTCTCCCAAGGGCCTCAAAAGTACTTTTCCTTTTTGCCTTCTGATTCCTGCCCCTTCTCCCGCTTCCTTGTTCTTATTTTTCTTCCTCCAAATAAAAACTACACTGCCATAATAAAAATAGATAATTAGGTGGATTTATGACTGGATGCATAGAGGGAGCATAGATAGAAGTGTGGTGAACCAACTCTAGTAGGCTGCTAATGGTAGAATCTAGGTAGAGTGTGCAGACTCATTCACTGAATGTTGCTTCTTTCAACTTTGCCTTGTGTTTAAAATTGTCATAATAAAACTTCTTAGGAGTGGCTGTCCACAAAGCCACAGGGGCTTTCACTAATGGCTTAAATAGTTTGCTATTATACTATCAGATAAAAATGAAAATAAGTACATGAAATGGTCTTCACAAATGAAGTCACCAAGCTATTGATTTCAATGCTTCTCATGTTTGAAATTCACATTCAGTTCACTTCAGTCGCTCAGTCGTGTCCAACTCTTTGCGACCCCATGAATCGCAGCACGCCAGGCTTCCCTGTCCATCACCAACTCCCGGAGCTTACTCAAACTCATGTCCATGGAGTCGGTGATGCCATCCAGCCATCTCATCCTCTGTCGTCCCCTTCTCCTCCTGCCCCCAATCCCTCCCAGCATCAGGGTCTTTTCCAATGAGTCAACTCTTCGCATGAGGTGGCCAAAGTATTGGAGTTTCAGCTTCAGCATCAGTCCTTCCAATGAACATTAGGCCATGCTAAATAATTAAGAACGCACATAATGAGTCAGTTGTATGATAATGACCACGTTTTTACAATAGGAAATTGGCTAAATAAATTGGGTATAAGTAGTTAATAAAATTTTCACAGCCATTAAAACTTACAGTATAGAAACAAATTCATAGACATAGAAAGATTTATATTATAACGTTTTCTATGCTGTCCAGAAAATTATGAACTTACGGGTATAGTTGGAAATGCATATATTAAAAATAGAAAAGTACTTAGAAAAATGACTTTTTCTCTCATATAGATTTTTTTAGTTCATATTTCCTGTTTTTTCATACAAGTTTCCCAATGTTTTAATTTTAGTAATGGAAGAAAGAAGGAAAATACAAAATGAAAAAGCATGCTATTTTTCTGTGAAAATGGAGTGGGGAAACTTGTTATCTGTAAATGATTTTTGATCACGCCCAAGAGATTATCTGCATTTTTCCTTTTATCTATATCACTGAACTTCCCTGTGGCTCAAATGGTAAAGAATATGCCTGCAGGAGACCAGGATTCGATCCCTGGGTCGGGAAGATCCTCTGGAGAAGGGAATGGCAATCCACTCTGGTATTCTTGCCTGGAGAATTCTATGGACAGAGAAGCCTAGCAGGCTACAGTTTGTGGGGTCGCTAAGAGTTGGACACGACTGGGCAACTAACACACACATGTCACTGAAAACTACCCTTATATATTTTTAATCCTGCACTGATGAACAGTGCATTTGAAATATGTTAAAACAAATACTTTTATTCATTCTTCTGAAGATATTTTAATGGACTTGACTAGTGGCTTTTGAAAGGAAAGTTAAGATGTTTTCGTACTGCTAGGCCCAAGGCGTTTTGTGCTTGGAAATGCCCTATCTTCTGTCTCTAATTACATTAAATTTCTGTGTCTGACTCATGAGGAAAGGAAGCTTCAAAGCAGAAATAAGAAAATCTAATTTATTTCTAAATGCAATAACGATTGATATATTTTAGACAATGTGACACCTGTGTTCCAAGTGTCTTAACCAGAAGAATTAAGAGTTCACAGATGTGACAGTTAGAGAATAAAAATGTTTTTATTATTATAGGTCTCTTTTCTCCAAGGAGATTTAAGCAATGTGCTGAAATTAGATAATCTTTATACTATGTGACTGAAAGGGACAGAGGGAAGAGACTATTACTGTTAATTTTTATTCTTCCAGTAACATTTGTTAAACACTTTGTTTATGACTCTGAAGTTAATTTTACACTTATTGTTTCCTCTCTTTAAAGACATTTTTTCATAGATTTTTCTGTCAGTGACAATTAAAAGAATAGTTGTGTTAGTCATTCAGTCATGTCTGACCCATTGGGACCCCATGGACTGCAGTCCAACCAGGCTGTCGTGGAATTCCTCTGTCCATGGAATTCTCCAGGCAAGAATACTGGAGTGGGTTGCCATTTCCTCCTCCAAAAGAAAGGTTTGGTAAGAATAAAAGTAAAATTAAGCAAAAAGAGATTTCACCTCTGAGTTCCAGTTCTCTAATCCTCTCGTAGTGGGTCACGTGGAATGGTATTCACTTGCATCTGTAGCACTCTTCCTGTATGCTATTAGTCTAGTGCACCGGTGCTTTCCCAGTTCCTGCAATACGTAATGTGTCACTGTCTTCATCTCTTTCCCAGGTAAAATGTCCAGTGATCGAGCTTTGAGGAAGCAGCAACAGTTGAACAACCTTGTTTATATGGTGACAAATCAGGCCAAACCTGGTGACAGAATTGTGGATTTCTGTAGTGGTGGGGTATTGTATCTCTTTTTTATTCTCTTTAGCTTTTCCAAGATGAAGTGACTTTACTATCTTACACTCAAGGACATTTTTTATATGACAGGAATGTTGTCTCAGAATAAACAGAAGCCTGAGAGACCAAAGTTAACTTGTTCCTTTTCTTGCGTTTTTCAGGGCCATGTTGGGATTGTCCTAGCTCACCTGATGCCATCATGCCAGGTAAAGTCTGAATGATAGATGATAAGAAACTGCACAATTCAATTAGCTGAGTCTGGCTTATCCCTCTTTGAGCTGATACTCATTCACTGAGGTCAGATATGAGGCACAAACATTTTATTTTTCGTTGAACTACACTTCTAAGATTCAGAATCTTAGGGGAAAAGAGTAGGGCCACAATACAGTTTTTATTTTTCATAAAAGAAATAATTATTTCACTGTTAATTAATGATGAAACCAGTTTAATTGTCAACATAATTTTGTACTTGAAATACTAGCTTCTGAAACTTGTTGAGCATATTCTTTGGTGCCTTGGATTTTAGTCATTGTATCAGAATTGTAAAACTGTTCTTTAAAGAAAAAGATGAACCCCAGATCTACCACTCTGATCCATCAAATGCATTTCCCCCCATGGTCTCATTAAGCCATTGTTCAGAAGGATGCTTGTTGCTGCAAATTCTAAGACTGCAAATACAATTTGAACCACATGCTTTCACTTAATCTTATGTCATAAATGTTTTTTCCTATTGCAAGTAGTTTTAAATATCATCACTGAAATGTGACTTGATAATATGTTTTTGAGTAAATGTACTGTAATTTATACAATCACCATCACCATTTGTTAGAAGTTTGTGCCGTTTTTAGTCTTCTGTCATAGTAAATCATTTTCCTTCCAGCTTTTAGCATTAAAGCTAGAACTTGATGTCGTTTTTTCAAATTACGATTCTTTGCTTGTGAGCTCGCTGGAAATTACAAAATAATTAAAGTGATTATTCTCAGAAGAAAAAAATGTGGAAGAACTCATAGACTGGCCAGAATGATAGAGAGTGGAAAGTATTATTCTTTTTCTTTCTTAGTAAATAAATGAGGAATATGAAGAGAAACAGGCGGGCATCTGTTTCATCACGTAGGAAAACCACAGTCTCATGGTTGGAGTTAGAGGAAGAGAGCTCACAGAGCGGAATCCTGGAGATGCAGAATCAGGGACTGGTGTCTTTTTTTCCCTTCCTAAAAGGTCTGCGAACTTAGAGATGTTGAAATTGGAGAAGGAAAATCTTGGCTAGAATAAAGGCTGGAAAACCTTTGACACCAAATATCCTCTGACAAGCCTTTTATACAAAAAGATCCAGAATTTTTCCATAAAGGCAAATGTAAGGACAAGATAAGGACCAAAGTAAGAATGAGAATGATGAAAGTGACTCAAGTCTGCCCACTTTTCTTCATCCAAATCAATGATGTCTCCTCTCTTCCTTGGCCTGGATTACTATTAGAAATTTGTAACTTGTTGCCGTGCCTTTTGCCTTGGCCCCACCAATCCATACTACGCATTGCCAGCAACTGGTTGTCCTTGTATCATGTGCGATCTGGCTCCTGTTACCTCTGCAGTCTGATTTCTGCCCTCCACACCCTGTCTCCCCACTCCCAGCTCTAGCATCACTCAGTGTACCCCACTGTACCAGTCTTCTCGGTTCTGCAAACCCACTGTATCGCTCTCACCTTGGGCCTTTCTCTCTCCACCAGAAACACTCCTTCATTGCTCCAGCTAATTTCTATTCATTTTGCAGGCCTCAATTAATATGTTACTCTTTAATATTAAATGATTAAAACCTCTCTTAGTCATCAAGTTTACATGCTTTGGTAACACATTATATGTCTTTCATTAAACACTTACCACTCACTGTATTATAATTACCTATCTCACTTATATCACCATATCTATAAGCTCCACGAGTTCAAGGACCTTGTTCATTTTTGTCCTGTATTATCTGGCATATGTCCTAGCACAGGATAGTGAAAAATGAAGTGAAAGTGAAAATCACTCAGTCGTGTCTGACTCTTTGCGACCCCATGGACAGTATAGCCTGCCAGACTCCTCTGTCCATGAAATTCTCCAGGCCAGAATACTGGAATGGGTAGCTGTTCCCTTCTCCAAGGGATCTTTCCAACCCAGGGATCCAACCCAGGTCTCCTACATTGCAGGCTGTTTCTTTACTGTCTGAGACAGGAGAGAAGCACAATGATAAAGATCAATATAATAAGATCAACATTATTAAAGCTATTGAATACAGTAATAATACTTTGCTTTAATGTCTAAGTTAGGTTACTGAATATACTATTGTTTCCTGTGTGAAATCTAGGTTATACTAATAGAAAACAAGGAATTATCATTAATTCGTGCTAAGAAGAGAAGTGATGAACTAGGTTTAAGCAACATTTGGTTCATTCAAGCAAATATGGAGTATTTTACAGGGATGTTTAATATTGGGGTAAGTAATCAAGCAATTTCAGTTTCTTTAACTAAATAAGAAAAATGAAATGTCCTAGAGTAAATAAAGGAGATACATTTATTTTCTTTGCTAACCAAGAAATTTATAACTTTTGTTTTCTACTATCTATAAAGTATACCTTATTAATGAATATTACTTCATTCACAGCATTTTATTATTACATGGTAGGGATAATATTTGTTCTTCTACCAGACAAGAACTTTATTTTCTTCACTGCAAAATCCCCAGTGCCTGAAAAAATGTTTGACACACGGCAAGTACTTTAAAGATAGTTACAAATTGAATGAATTCTAATGAAGATGACTTCCCTTGGTTTATTCTACATTTTTAGAAGGTTGTGAAAGAAAAGAAAAACAGAAAATATAGTAGAAATAGTTTGTTTATATGTGTAACTAATTCACTTTGCTGAACACCTGAAACTAACACAACATTTAAATCAACAATCCTCCAATAAAAAAAATAAGCTGCAAATACTTGAGTTACTTTCAGATGACTCTTTCTTTAGCAAGGATTTGATATCTTCATGTATTCTGAGCTTCTAGTATAAAATGTATTGGTGATGTTTTTGAAAGCTTCAAATCAAATTGTTATTGTTTGATACCACTAGAAGACCAAAGATAATGTGATTCTGCCAGTTCATTTAAATCCAGGGTTGTACACTCTGGTGGAATTTGAGTTTCAATAAGATGTTAGCATTGCTGCTGTCCTTGTATCTGTGTTGAATATTTTTCCTTATTTTTATAGTACTAAATGCTCGATTTAGAAAACTACATAATAATATAAGGAAGAATCACCAGTATTTTTGCTAGTGAGAGATAATACTATCAAAACCCTTTGGTCTTTGTGTATTTATACACACAAACAAATGCATATTTACATGTGCCTTGAGATCCTGCTTTACCTGAAATTGTCAGGTAAAGCAATACTAAATACTTTCCCTACTCATTAATCATGTTCCTTTTCTGTTGTTATTATAATTGTTATTTATTATATATGTCTAATGATGTATCAATTAAGACTTTTGATTCCTTTGCCTAATCACTTTACAGGAAGGTTGTGCTAATTTGCATTCTCAACTGTATATGGTCACATAGCATATACAATGCGCTTGTCTAGTTGAAATTCTTGTCCAATCTTAGAAGTCCAGACCTTTCAGAGTACTTAGGATTTTTGTTCAGTCAGTGAAATTCATTTCTTAAATATCAACTTCTGTAAAATTGTGAGACTTATTGTTATACAGCCTGAAAAGAATGCAATGTGTTTCCTTTGTGGACATGATATAGATTGGTTACCTCAAGCAAAGCTTATGGAAAGAGAAGTAAACTTTTAAGAAACCTATTAGGAAGGATATTCAGGAAAATATAATAGACATCTGATACAGCAAGTTCGAATATAAATATATTATTATGTACCACTTAAATTTTACATAAATGTTGAGGTAGAGGATAAAGCTTCTCCCTAAAACAGACCATTAAACCAATGCCCATGTTACCAGGAAGAGTGTATAAGGTAGCATTTACTCACCTCTCAAATCACAAAATTCCCAGCCGATCAGCCATGTATCTCTTTACCCTTCAATGGCTTGTAGGTGATAAATCATTCTGGCACGTTCTTATACCTTTCAAGGTCATGTAATTCACTAACACCAACTAGCAAAGTATATGTCTTTTGGGAAGTGACATTTTTCTCTGTATCTCATAATAATATACCCATAATGGGTTTTTTTCTTTCATAATTACCTTTGTCAAGATATATGGAAAATGAATTAAAATTACTTGGAGGATTAAACCAAAATTAGATTTAAGAATATAATTTGCCTAGGAGGATAATTGAAGTATTGTCAGTAGATAAATCAAACCAAATGCATCAGCGGCTCTTTTATATGAAATAGACTCTAGTGAAAACACTGTAGCTACAGAGGAAATCAGAATAACCAGGTATCGGGAATGTAGTAAAGCTCTGTTAATTCAGTTTTGTGGTATTTCAAATAAGGGTTTGCTGCTGCTGCTGCTGCTGCTGCTAAGTCGCTTCAGTCATGTCCAACTCTGCGTGACACCATAGACGGCAGCCCACCAGGCTCCTCTGTCCCTGGGATTCTCCAGGCAAGAACACTGGAGTGGATTGCCATTTCCTTCTCCAATGCATGCATGCATGCTAAGTCGCTTCAGTCGTGTCTGACTCTATGCGACCCTATGGACAGCAGCCCACCAGGCTCCTCTGTCCACAGGATTCTCTAGGCAAGAATATTGGAGTGGGTTGCCATTTCCTTCTCCAAAATAAGGGTTTAGTTAGTGTTTATCTTTGCTTAGTAAATGCCTTTTCTTTTGCTATTTTTCTCTGGACATAAAAATCAATGCTGTAAACAAGATTTTAAAGGGAGATTTTTAAAGTCCTCAAACCAACTCTCTTTAGAAACTTCAAACAAATTAATTATATGTAAAAATTGAAATACTTATTATTTGTCTTATCTCCATTAATATAATGACCTGTATCAGGCAAAAATGAATAGATTTACTAACTTTTTAAAACTAGTGTGACTTGACATAATGGAAGAAAACAAATCTAAATATTTTTAGGTCTTTCAACAAGGTCTTCCATCACCCCAAGGGCTATGCTTCCCCTTTGTAACCAGAATCAGGGCGGTAACACCATGTGTTCCAAAGAGCATTTGTAATTTTGTGATTTCCTTTATGTTTATTCGAGAAATATATTTCCTTAGAAATACAAATATCTAATAAGCTTATTAGAAACATTCAAAGTCTCTAGTAACCAAACACATTTCAACTTGAACAGCAATAGTATTCTGTTCTTGTTCTTAATATTTGCAAGGATTTTAAAAATATTACTCATTGACTGTAAGACTTCTGTGAGGAGCCCAAATCATATAGGAACTTTGAAATTTTCATTTACATGATATTTGTAATGATTTGTTAATGACATGAAATGTTAGTTATAATGGTAAACAGAGAAAGTTTTATTAACATAATTGTTCTGTGCGTGCATGCTCACTCAGTCATGCCCAACTCTTTGCAGCCCTGTGGACTATAGCCCACCAGGCTTCTCTGTTCATGAATTTTCTAGGCAAGAATACTGGAGTGGGTTGCCATTTCCTACTCTGGGGAAACATATTGGTTAAGAGAATGCATTTTAAGATTGAATTTAACTTGTGCTGAAGTCTCAGTTTGACCACTTACTAGTTGTATTGCCTTGGGCAACTTATTTAAACTCACCCTCAGTCCTTAGTTTTTTAATTTATGAAATGAGAATAAAATATCTGGCTCATGGGATGTTGATATAAAGTTTATGAAGCACTTAGCAGGTTGCCTCGCATTTAGGAAGTACTCAAAAAATTGGGCTTTTACTCTGTGCAATGTGATCTCAACCATGTGAAAACTGCATTAAAAAGGATGGGAGGAAAGAATGTTAACATTTATTTTTTTAAGGCCACTATCTCTATATAATATGTAATAATATTTTTTATTCAGTATTTTTAAAATATTCCACATTTAACATTATCATTTTTATATTCATAATAATGTAAACAGTAAAATTAGAAGAAATAAATATATATGCTTAATGTTGGATACCTAGCTTATATAGCCAAGAAAGAATAATAGAGCCTAAGGAGCACTGTAAGATATCTAAGAATTCTGAATCTATCAGATACATATATAATTGACTCAGTCTTTGCAACCCCATGGACTGTGGCCCGCCAGGCTCCTCTGTCCATGAAATTCTCCAGGCAAGAATACTGGACTGGTTAGCCATTCTCCTCTCGATATGTATATGTAATTTGTTTTAAAGCAAGTAATTGTTTATTATAGAAACACCTTTTGATTGCCTTATTCTGATTTTGATTATAATGGCTATTAATGTCCTGAAGAAAATACAAAAGTCCTTTCAAAATTAAGAAACATCTGAGAAGGTTTTTTTCTTCCAGTTTGAATATATGCAGCTGTATGACCCTGAAATGATTATGTGTTAGGACTGAATGTTTGTACCTCACCTCCACCATCAAAAAATTCATGTGTTGAATTCCTTAACCCCTAATGTGATGGTATTAGGAGGTGGGACATTCGGGAGGTAATTGGGTCATATGAGTGGTGCTCTGCTGAGTGGAATTAATGCCCTTGTAAGAAGGGAAACAAACTTGCACCCCTTCTTAGCTCTCCACCATATAGAGATACAGTGAGAAGACAGCCATCGTGAAGCAGGAAGAGGGTCCTCACTAGACATCAGACCTGCCAGCACTCTGATCTTGGACTTCTCAGCCTCCAAAACTGAGAAAAAAATAAATATTTGCTGTTTGAACCACCAAGTTTATGATAGTTTTTAAAGAGCATCCCAAACTAAAACAATATATATCAATTACCATACCCTAAAAAGGGTAACTCAGACAAGATTATTTAAGTGGACCTTTTAAGGCTATTTTTTTAAATTGGGGATTTATTTTATTTATCTTATTTTTTGGCTGTACTGGGTCTTTGTTGCTCTACACAGGCTTATTCTAGTTGCAGTGGGCTACTCTTAGTTGCATAGGAGGGCTTCTCCTCTCAGTGGCTTCTCTTGTTGCAGAGCACAGGTTCTAGGCGTGCAGGCGTCCGTAGCTGTAGCAGTCGGCTCAGTACCTGAGGCTTGCGGGCTCTAAAGCACATGCTCAGTAGTTGTGGCACATGGGCTTAGCTGCTCTGAGGCATGTGGGATCGTCCCAAACCAGGTATAGAACCAGCGTCCCCTGCATTGCAAGGCCATTCTTGACCACTGGACCACCAGGGAAGCCCTTTAGAGCTATTTTTTAAAGAAGTCTATTATTGCCTTCTTGTCTAGTGTAAGATAATCATTATTATAAAAACTTACTTTATAAGATTTTACTTTTTAAGACTTAATTCATATTGTGTATTAATACCTAGTCTCTCAAGCAATATAACAAAAATCTTGTTGCCAAATAGTATTACTGAAAGGGCCATGACTATGGAAAA